GGCTCACAGCAGCAGGGCTTGCAACAGCTGGACTGACAGCAGCAGGGTTTGCAACAGCAGGACTCACAGCAGCAGGGCTTGCAACAGCTGGACTGACAGCAGCAGGGTTTGCAACAGCCGGACTGGCAGCAGCAGGGTTTGCAACAGCCGGACTGGCAGCAGCAGGGCTTGCAACAGGTGGACTGAGAGCAGCAGGGTTTGCAACAGCCAGACTGGCAGCAGCAGGGCTTGCAACAGCTAGACTGGCAGCAGCAGGGCTTGCAACAGCTGGACTCGCAGCAGCAGGGTTTGCAACAGCCGGACTGGCAGCAGCAGGGTTTGCAACAGCTGGACTGGCAGCAGCAGGGCTTGCAACAGCCGGACTGGCAGCAGCAGGGCTTGCAACAGCTGGACTGGCAGCAGCAGGGTTTGCAGCAGCTGGACTGGCAGCAGCAGGGTTTGCAACAGCTGGACTCACAGCAGCAGGGCTTGCAACAGCTGGACTGGCAGCAGCAGGGTTTGCAACAGCCGGACTGGCAGCAGCAGGGCTTGCAACAGCTGGACTGACAGCAGCAGGGTTTGCAACAGCCGGACTGGCAGCAGCAGGGCTTGCAACAGCTGGACTGACAGCAGCAGGGCTTGCAACAGCTGGACTGGCAGCAACAGGGCTTGCAACAGCTGGACTGACAGCCCCCACAGGAGCCACAGCCTCCCTTGCAGCCCCCGCAGGAGCCACAGCTCCCCTTGCAGCTCCCGCAGGAGCCACAGCTGGAGCAGGAGCAGGAGCAGGCTGGCACACAGCAGCTCATGGTTGTGGTGGTGGAAGGTGGAGGAGGTGAGAGGAGCAGGTGGAGAGAGAGGTGAGTGGTGTGGGGCCTCCTGGCCTGGCCTTTATGTCCCTGTGGGGTCAGGTGTGGGCTGGGCACAAGGTCACTTCCTGGCCCTGGGCCCATGGTCACTTCCTGGTCCTGCCGTGTGGTCACTTCCTGGTCCTGGCACATGGTCACTTCCTGGTCCTGGCACATGTTCACTTCCTGGTCCTGGCACATGGTCACTTCCTGGTCCTGGCACATGGTCACTTCCTGGTCCTGGGCACATGGTCACTTCCTGGCCCTGGGCACATGGTCACTTCCTGGTCCTGGCACATGGTCACTTCCTGGTCCTGG